CGGGTGACTCCGGCCTGCTCCACTCAGGGAGGAGGTTGCACGGCGGGGCGGCGCCGGCCCCCGGAGTTACCGCGCTCGCTATTGGGCCGGGGCTGCTGTGTGGCGGCTAGCGGGGCTGGGGCGCCACGTTTGCAAGGCGGCTCCGGCCCCCCCGCCCCGCAGCGCGCCAGGTTTGAGCTGCCCGCGGCGGGGGAAGGGGAAGGGGATGGGGATGGGATGGGGGACCCGCCGCGGGGAAGCACCCCCGCTGGCCAGCGGCAGTGGCAGGGGTGTTTCTTGTACTGATGATTTCGTGTCCAAATCCGTTCCCAGTGTGGACGGGGCAGAGCTCAGCGGTTCGAGCCTATGGGGCAAGACCGTCCGCAAGTGTCCTCCCTGCAGGACTCTGCAGCCTGGACCCTCAGATGCCGGCACCCCCTGCTTAGCGCTGTTTCGCTATAGCGTTCGTTTGACATTGATACCTGATTTCACTTAGCGCTCCGTGAGTTTCACTGTAACGCTTGTGGTTTCATCTTGGGTCGTCGGATACTTTCGGTCTCGCTTAACGCCATTGGCAATGCGTAGCGGGTACGTGCGCCCCCTGGAAGCGCCAGTGGGAGCGCACTGCCCGTTTCACTGCTGGTGGTACCAGGCTCGGCAATCGGCCCCTGCCCCCCCCCCCCCGGGGGCAATCGGCCTCTGGGGGACCCCTCCCCGTTGTCAATCAGACACCGGTTGCCTGTGCTTAATGCTTGTTTCGCTCGACGCTTGGTTTTCCAGGAAGCAATTAAGAGCACTAAGCAGGGGTTGCCTGTACTCCCAAATGCATGGTGGGCACAGATTCATAGAAAATTCGGGTTGGAAGGGACCTCAGGAGGTCTTTTAGTACAACCTCCACTCAAAGCAGGACCATCCCCAGATAGATCATCCCAGCCAAAGCTTTGTCTAGCCAGGTCTTAAAAACCTCCAAGGATGGAGATTCCACCACCCTTCTGGGTAACCTGTTCCAGTGCTTTACTACCCTCCCAATGAGAGAGTTTTTCCTAATAGCTAAGCAAAACTTCCCTTGCTGCAACTTCAGACCATTGCTCCTTGACATCGTTTTGTCATCTGCCAGCACTGAGAACAGTCTAGCTCCATCCTCTCTGGACCGCCCCCCTTCTGGTAGTTGAAGGCTGCTATTAAATCCCCCCGCCCCCTCAGTCTTCTCTTCTGCAGACTAAATAGGCCAGTTCCCTGCATGCAAGCCCCAAGCCAAGAGGCCTTGGAGTCCAGATGCCCCCCTCCCCCCCAGCCTTACTTGCCCCTAGTCAAAAGGCCAAAGGAGACAGCTAGAGGGAAAGCCTGACAGCAATCCATGGCCATAAATTGTGTAGCTAAGATCCTTGCACCTGGAGGCATTTGTGGACTATCTCAGGGGTCAGCCTGACTGCAAGTCAGGGACCAGCTAAGTCATTCAAGACCAAGAAGATCATGGTATGCCAGGCCTGTGAAACCTTTGTGTGCAGCTGAGGGGAGGCAGTTGGCTGTGTTTCAAGGGGGCGTTTAACACTGTCAGCAGTCTTATATAGAGTTTAGATTCTGGATTGGATAGGAATGATCCTTCCTTAGGCAGGGGCTTGTGTTGAATGACCTCCTTAGGTCCCTTCCAGCCCTGCTTCTCTATGATTCTCTGAACCTGGGGCATTCACACAGCTGCCTTGGAAGTGGGGTAGCTGCCAAGCTGGTTATTCATCCAGGAAGGATGCTCCTTGCAGCCTAGCTGGAGAAGCAGAGAATTGGCTCTCTGTCCGTGAGGCATTGGTTAGGTGGGGATTTGCACTTCCTCCTGGCAGTGCTGTACTAAAGGGAGGGCAAGCAGGGAGATCGCCCTGGGTGCCGAAGCGAAGGGGCACCAATAGGCGCTGCCCAGCCAGGGTGGGGCATGGGACAGAGCCATGAGCAGCTCATTTGAAGGGGTGTGGGGATGGGGGACAGGCATCTCCTGCCGCTGTGTGCACTCCTGGGCAAGCATAGGGGGGCATGTGCTCCCTGGATCTGTGCACAGGGCTAAGGCGGGCTGGCTCTGTGGGATTTGCCCAGAGTACTAAACTTCATTGCTACAGCACTACCTGCTGGCATGGCAAACAGCTTAGGATCATAGAAAAGTAGAGCTGGAAGGGACTTTGCAGGGTCATCCAGTCCAAACCCCTGCTCAAGAAAGGATCATCCTACCTTGAGTAAACCATCCCAGCCAATTATCTGTTCAGCTTGCTCTTGAAAATTTCCCAGGATGGAGATTCCATAGCTTCTCTAGGTAGCCTGTTCCAATGCTTTTCAACCCTTATAGTCAGAAAGTTCATCTTAATCTCCAACCTAAACTTCTGATGTAGCTTGAGGCCCTTGCTCCTAGTCCTGTCCCCTTCAGCCACAGAGAAAAGCCCATCTCCATCCTCTCTGTAATTGCCCTTAGCACTCACAGATGTAAGTTGGAGCCATGGGCAAATGACCAGTTTTGAAAAGAGGAGGTGCAGGTGGCTCATTACATATAAAACTACATGTTTTTCTCTAGTCAAAAATGAATTAGAGGCTTTACTAACAGGCTAGAGGCCTAGGGCAGTGTTATCCATTTAAGATTGAAACAAAAACAAACTTCATTGGAATGAGCTAAAAAATGATCTGCAAGACTGTGAAATAGGAGCTTCAGTATCAGGAGCAGCGAACAGACAGCAAAATTGCAGAACAAAGGCTTAGCTTTACTGGTGAAACACCAAGCCTCTTAAAAAGAAGAGAGGGTCCTTACCACCTGTCAAATGAAGAGTTTATGAAGGGATCAGGTAGATGATAAGGAGCCATGAAGTCAATTGAGTCCTTCACTATAAATGCTGCTGCCACTGCCAGACAGTTGCTTTTAAATTTTGGGTGGAGCAGGAATCAAAGCAGTGTGTAAGTGTATCATGCACCCTTCCCCTCCCCCGATCCACCTTTGGCTGGAGCCCACTCTTTCTTCCTTTCTTTCACTCCTCTGTCATTTGGACCATATCTTCCCATGTTTTCCACCTTAAGTGAATCTCTCAGTGGCTCTTTCTTTTATCATACCAGGTTCAAACTTCTTGTCACTAGTTTTAAAAGCCCTGGACTTTTCCTGCCAGATGGACGCCCTCTCCATCTGGACCAATTTTTTCCTGCCATGCTTATCCAACCTCCTTTAATTTACTATCACTTTCCTACTCAGCCAGTGATGCCCCCCACTCTTACTGTCCCTTTTTTTTTATCAGGGTTGGGGACTCTAGGTGCTCCTTTACTGCATTTCAACACTTACTATTAGAATAGCCATTGAACTAGAAATTAGGCACAAATTTCTTGCTAGGATAGTAATTACCTATTGAAAAATTTAATTTGAGAAGTAATGAATTCTCCCATACTTGAAATCCTTAAATCAAGACTGTGTGGTATCTCAAATGGTTCACTGTAGCTCAGCAAGGTCTTGCCTTGCAGGCATCACTTGATGAAATGCTGTGTCCTTGGTGTAATGCAGGATCTCAGACTAGGTAATCCCTTCTGGTCTTAAATTACATGAATCTACAAGGCAGACAAGGTTCTTTGGGTAGATGTGATATCTTTTATTAGACCAACTAAATAGTTGGAAAAAATGTTCTTTGCAAGCTTTCAGGCACAAACACCCTTCTTCAGGCATATAGAGAGTCTGCTGGTGAGCTGTGTGCTCTCCTGGGTAGAATAGAAGCCAAAATGCAAAATGCAGTTCTGTGAAAATGCAAATCCAAGACTTCCACCTCTAAGATCCTCACTGCCATATATTTGCATTTTCACAGACCTGCATTTTGCCAAAGAACCTTGCCTGCCTATGTCCTTAGACCAACACAGCTACAACCAACAACCCTAAAGCATAAATCTGCAAATCAAAGAAAACACCCCTGGTCCACAGAGCTTACTAGTGAGTGTAACACAAGAAATACAACATAGGTAATAATTGAAGTGATGTTGTATTAGTGATGCTCCAGAAAAATAAGAGGGAAGAATTTTTTGTGGGTAGTAGCTTTTATTGTAGTCAGTCTATGTGGTAGTGCACTTTTGGTGCCTGCCACTTTAAGGACTGGAGTGGGCAGCCACCAGGTGGCTGATTGCGGTGGCCATTTTCAAATGCAGGCCAGATGTATAAAGAGGGCAGTTGGCTGCTAGCAAGGGAGGTAGCAATACCATCTGATTGCACTCCTGCTTAGGGACCTGGAAGTAAGGTAAGGGGCTATGGGGGAATGGAGGTTCCTGTTGTCCTGGGTAAGATGTGAAACCCTACCCTCCTGGGGAAGAGTTGCTTGGTGGGGCTCCTAGTGGCGTGGGAGCCCCCTGGAAATGCCAGGCCAGTTACCTGGTGAAAGGTGGATCAAGGTGCCTTATAACCCCAGCCCCACATCCCTGATGGTGTCCCAGCAGAGCAAGGGGAGCCCAGGCTTGTTAGGAGCCCTGAGGCAGAGTCCAGGCCACAGGAGGGAGCTGGAGCTGTGCCCAGGCAGTAGGGTACAACCTGGGGGTGATGGACAGAGAGACTCTGTGAATTGGTGAGTGAGTAGAGGCCCTGAGAGAGGGGCATAAGTAAGAGACCCAGTGGGGACATGGAGGCCTGGTGAGGGGCCAGGAGTGAAGTAAGCTAACAGTTGTAGAGTCGCTCAGCAAACCTTCAGTTGAAGGCAGCGGGAGATGCCCGACACTGCACTGGGGCTGACCGAGGCATGGAGAGACAAGCCCAAAGCCAGGGGAGGCCGGGCAGTATGAATGTGGCTCAGGAGAGAGGAGTGGAGTTAAGTACAACATGTCAGGTCTTGAAAGGATGTTAGAAGAAAAATCAACACACAAGATGATGAGGGTCTAGCTAAGAGATGTATCTGCATGGATGGAGATATGAACTTTGTCCTCCATATCTCTAAA